CGGTACGCAGGCCTCTCACCGCTGTGGCCTCTTCCGTTGCGGAGCACAGGCTCCAGATGCGCAGGCTCAGCGGCCATGGCTCATGGGCCCAGCCACTCCGCGGCATGTGGGATCCTCCCGGACTGGGGCACGAACCCGTGTGCCCTGCTTCGGCAGGCGGACTCTCAACCACTGCGCCACCAGCGAAGCCCGGCAGCGGGATTCTTAACCACTGTGTCACCAGGGAAGCCCCTTTCTTTTACTTTTTAAAGTCTAAATATTTTATTTTATTTTCCAACTTCAATTACATAATACACAGTGTTATTGACTGTAGTCACCATGTTTTACATTAGATCTTCAGACCTTATTCATCTTATAGTTGAAAGTTTGTACCCTTTTATTAACTTCTCCCTATTTCCCCCATTCCTCAGACCGTGGAAACTACTTTTCTACTCACTCTTTCTATGAGTTTGACTCTTTTTTTAGATTCCAGTTAAGTCTAGATAATTTTAAACTGCTATTGAAACAGTCGTTTTAGTGATGTGATGCTCCTTCTTCTGTAGGAATTTATGTAATTTATTAAATACATGTATATTCTGATTTTGCTCTGTAGTTTAATGTATTTTTCTTTTCTACCTGAATAACAATAACTATTTGCTCTTAGGAAATTGGCCCGGATGGAGATAGTTGCGCTGTGTGTATTGAACTATATAAACCTAATGATTTGGTGCGCATCTTAACCTGCAAGTAAGTTTGATTTTCTTTTATGTCGTCAATAAGAATAGCTGACTTACAAAAATGATTGTAGTGGGGCAAACTATTTTGAATGTTTCCAATTTGATGTAAAGAAAGTGTTTATTTTTAACTTCTTTTCATTTAAATATAGGTGATTGCTTTATTTTTAATGTCATTGGAAGTGGTATAAGGCTAATTATACAATATTTCCATAATCTGGTACAATTTGGAAACTAGTTCCGTAAAAAACTTAAGAACCTAGCCAACATCACTGTTTATTTAATTGTGTGTGTGTGTGTGTGTGTGTGGTACTGGATTATTTAATTCAAAATAATTCTACCAATCCTATTGAGAAAAAAATAAAATCAACTTATGAGCACCTATTTTGAAGTCTTCATTCTTTAGCTTTTTATTATCCCTCTCCCGGAAGTTGTTCTTGACACTCTTCCTTTTAGCTATTAAATAGTGGCATTCTTGGAACTTATCACATTGCCTAAAGTATCGGAATTATGTTACACTCAATACTTTATTGTACTATATTATTGAGAATGACTAACTGTACTATTTTGTAGTTAGGGAATAACAAAATAATTAAGATCCGAATTACTGAACAAAACCTTAGCTATTTTTCAAGTAAGTGGTATTGAAAATAGTTTTTATGAAGCTAGAGTGATGAGGCTATATTTAAAAGTACCGTATTATGAAATTTCCAAATTTTGTTTCTGTAATAGTGTGTTTAAAAGGAAAAAAAAGGCATCCGTTAAAAGACTAAGTAAACTTATAGGGTAACCCGTTAGTATATTAGGCAAAGTGTTGCTAGTTCACAACTGATAACCAAAATATGTGTTTTTTTCCTTCATTAGCCATATTTTCCATAAGACATGTGTTGACCCATGGCTATTAGAACACAGGACTTGCCCCATGTGCAAATGTGACATACTCAAAGCTTTGGGAATTGAGGTAAATATTGCTAAACTATTTATACGAAGGAACTTAAGCAGTGCGTTATTTATATATCTGGGCTTTCAGGAAAAAATCCTTATTTTTTAGCTACATAATGTGCTAGACTTACGGTTTGTACCAAAAATTGGACCTACTTACATCATAGTGACAGAGAAGTACCATGTTGGACCACCTGCATTTTCCTCCTTCTTCCCTCTCCTCAAATGTACTTATTATTTGGTCAGAATTGGAAGTGATGACCCCAACTGACTTCTGATACCCCTTGCTGTTTTTTACTCTCTTACTATTGCATAGCAATCAAACTTGTTGTTAACTGAGCATGTAAAGTTTGAGAGAGTATAATAAATATTAAGTTATATTTCGTAAATGAAAAAAAAAACCTACCTATTTCACAGTACACACAACAGAAAGTCAAGGTCAATAAACTCTTCCTGACTTGAGGAGATATACAGATGAAAGTGATTCTCAAAACCCCTAGGGGACAGCATAGGAATGTTTTTTGAGTGCCTTCCTTGTATCAGGCATTATATTATGAAGTGTTCACCCAGATAAACATGTCAGATGTTGATGGCAATCTGTCTGTAACATCTTTCACCCCATTGGACCCAATTACTCCAACTGCTCTGGCTGGGACCTGCTAGAAATTTTTGTGATCATCAAAAATGTATCTTAGGGGGCTTCCCTGGTGGCGCAGTGCTTGAGAGTCCGCCTGCCGATGCAGGAGACGCGGGTTCGTGCCCCGTTTCGGGAGGATCCCACGTGCCGCGGAGCGGCTGGGCCCGTGAGCCATGGCCGCTGAGCCTGCGCGTCCGGAGCCTGTGCTCCGCAAATGGGAGAGGCCACAACAGTGAGAGGCCCGCATAACGCAAGAAAAAAACAAAACAAAAAAATGTATCTTAGGTTTAAAAGGTTAAGAAGCATTGCTCTAATAAGTCACCTATGAAGAAAGTTTGTAATGATACGTCAAGGAAAAACGTATACTCTGAGAGCCTCTTAATGTGTTTAAATGCTTTCCGCAGGTGGATGTTGAAGATGGATCAGTGTCTTTACAAGTTCCGGCATCCAACGAAGCATCCAATAGTGCCTCTCCTCATGAAGAGGATAATCGCAGTGAAACTGCATCGTCTGGATATGCTTCAGTTCAGGGCGCAGATGAACCGCCTTTGGAGGAACATGTGCAGTCAGCAAGTAAGCACCATGCTGAGGGGCAATGAGTGCCCCACAAATGATCCATTGGGGATTAGACACCAGGCAGAGTACTCCTGCTTTTTAGCATTTATTCTATTCATCCATTAACACATTCCAGGTTTTTTCTAGTAACAGTGATGCAATGCAGGATGCACCCTTACCTTAACTTAATATACACATTCAAATGTACCTGAAACAGATAAAATGCATTAAGAGTGGGGATTATTCACAGAAGAAAAAGATTTTTTTTATTGGAAAGCTTCTCTCCAATGCATTTAAGTGTTGGCTTATTAACTTAGGCTAAGGAGAAACTTTTCAACTTTAGAAGCCATTGTTTATTGCATATCGATCAGAACTTAAGATAAAGAATTCCTGGAATTATAAAACAGAATTTAATTTCCAAAAGCTTGATTTATACACAACTTCTGCAGAACCCATTTTTTGCACAGATCAGAAACTGTGTTTAAGAATGATGTGCTGCCACCTGTTGATTATTTGCCATGAAGTGAACAAACTGTAGAAAGTAAAATTGAATGTATTAATTTCAAAATTAATGTGAATCAGTATTAGCAATTTAGTAATGTCATACCAGTAGAGAGATTTTAGGGAATTCTGTTACTTTTTTCCTTAGAGAAAACCCATATAAAAATTACTTTCCCTTTCTTTAACTTCCACCTTTTTCATTGTTTTTGTTGGTTTGATAGTTTTTCCTCTATCCTCATTTTGAGATAACATAATTCTGGCATAAAAGTAGAAGGAAAATGAAATGTCAAGATGACTTGTAAAAGTTTCAGCTTCCTATGACATGAACCTTTGTCCTTGGTAGGCTTATCAGTTCCATAGATACCATTTCTACAGAGGTCACGAGGAATACCATCATGCAAATGCAAACCTCATGTTGTAATCTAATTTTTGGACATTTCCTAGAGTACAAAGTAGTCATAAGAATCTTAATAATCTGTGCTTTGTTCTACCTATAACAGATGATCATTGTCTATTTGTCCCAGATGAATTTTTGGTTCCTGTAACTGTGGTAATAGAATTCAGTGAAGATAAAGGACAGTGTATGGGATAATTCAGTTTAGCAGCATTGGTGGTTCAGTGGTAGAATTCTTGCCTGCCATACAGGAGGCCTGAGTGTATGGGATAATTCAGTTTATTGTCAGACCAGTTTAAAAAAAGAAAAAAGTCCCAACCTACTTTTTTTGTGTTCTGTTCTTGTGGGGGAGGGTAGAAGGCAGAACAGTTTTTGCAGAGAATTTGCGAAGCAAATAAAATGATGATCCATGTTCCTTCTCCTGTATTCTTTATCTCCATGAATGGTAGTAACACCTACCCGGGTGCGTCAAACCAGAAACTTAGGTAGATCCTAGATCCTTCCCTCTCCCCTTCCTATTGATTCAATATCATTTTTCCTCTAAACCATCCCCTAATTTCCAACCTTAATTCAACAGTCATAGTTTGAGCCACTATCTTCTCTCTGCCCATTCCTTCTACTCTTCCTCCCCCAAGAAATTGGGGAAGCCCAGTCCAACTCCTGTTCCTCCTTTAAAACTTGCTCCCCTTTGAGAAGCTTCCTTTGACTCACCTGTGTGGTCCTACTGTCTAGGACTGTCTAGTTCTGTAGAACTTCTATCATTGCATTTGTTGCACTGAATTGTATTAAAACCTTAAAAAGTCCCTTTGGGTAGGGACAGTGTCTTATTCACCATCGTATACCCAAGCACCCAGCACAGACTGCCACATAGTAAATACTCAAATTAAGTGTTGAATGAGTGACCACATAGAATAGATTTAATTTTATCTATGATTATATATTAATAGTTTGGGTATTATGCCTATTAACCATTGATTATTATGGTGATAGTTGTGATTTAAATAACTTTGTAAACATACAATTGATTAGTTCATGCCTGTGTGTTCCATCATTGTGCTGAATTTTATCAGAGCACTGATTTTCAACCGTAAGCATACATTGAGTCACCTGGAGGGCTTGTTAAAACAGAGGGGCAACCACCAGTTTCTGACTCAGTTGGTCTGGGGTGGGCCCTGAGAATTTTCATTTCTAAGAAGTTTACAGGTGATACTGATACTGCTTGTCCAGGGACCACACTTTGGGAACCACCGAATAAGGGCCCTAGTTCTTAACCCTGGCTGTACATTAGAATCACCCATAGAAACTTTAAACATTACTAATGCCTGGGCTTTACCCCAGAATTGTTAAATCAGAATCCATGAGATGTGGGGCCCAAGCACAGGTTATTTTTTTATTTTGAAATAATTTCAGCCTGACTATAAAAAAGTTTCAAAAACAGTAAAAAGGATGCCTATATACCCGTCACCAAACTTCTCCAAATGTTAACATCTTATATAACCATATACAATTATCAAAATCAGGAAATTAAACGATAAAATGTTATTAACTAAACTGATCTTACTCAAATTTCACCAGTTGGCCCATTAATGTCCTTTTTTCTGTCCTAGGATCCCACATTGCATTTCCTCTTTTCTCATTTTTCCCCAGTTTTATTGAAATATACTTGACATATAATCAGAGTAAGATTAGTTAAATCCATCATCTCACATAATTACGAATTTTGTGTGTGTGTGTGTGGTGAGAACATTTAAGATCTACTCTCTTAGCAACTTTCAAGTATTTAATACAGTATTGTTAACTGTAGTCACCATCTATATGTTAGATTCCCCAAAACTTATTTATCTTATAACTGGAAACTTGTACCCTTTGATGAACATTTCCCCATTTCCCCCACCTTCCACCCTCTTGCAACCACCATTCTACTCTTTTTCTATGAATTTGGCTTTTTTTTTTTAAGATTCTACATATAAGTGATATCATACAGTATTGGTCTTCTCTGTCTGACTTATTTCACTTAGCACAGTGCCCTCAAGGTCCATCCATGTCGTTGCAAATGGCAGGATTTCCTTCTTTCTCATGGCTGAATAATATTCCATTGTTTCATATCTGTATATATGTATGTGTGTATATATATATATATATACACACACACATACACACACGCACACACACCACGTTTTCTTTATGTGTTCATCAGTCAGTGGACACTTAGGTTATTTCTGTGTCTTGGCTATTGTGAATGATGCTGCAGTGAACATGGAGGTGTAGCTCTCTCCTCAAGATAGTGATTTCATTTCCTCTGGATATATACCCAGAAGTGGGATTGCTGGATGATATGGTAGTTCTATTTTTAATTTTTTGAGAATCTCCATACATGTTTCCCGTAGTGCTGTACCAATTTACATTCCCACCAACATTGCACTAGAGTTCCCTTTTCTTCACATCCTTGCCAACACTTAACCTGTTTTCTTTTTGATATTAGCTATTCTAACAAGTGTGAGGCAATATCTCATTGTTGTTTTGATTTGCATTTCCCTGATTAGTGATGTTGAGCATCTTTTCACGTACCTGTTGGCCATTTGTATGTCTTCCTTGGGAAAATATCTCAGTTCTTCTGCCCATTTTTTAATCAGATTATTTGCTTTTTTGCTATTGAACTGTATGAATTCCTTATATATTTTGGATATTAACCCCTTATCTGATATGTGGTTTGCACATATTTTCTCCCATTTTGTAGCTTGCCTCTTCATTCTTTTGATTATTTCTCTTGCTGAGTAGAAGCTTTTTGTTTTGATGTAGTCCCATTTGTTGATTTTGGCTTGTTAAGTCCTTAATCCATTTAGAGTTCATTTTTTAAGTGGTGTAAGATAGGGGTCCAGTTTCATTCTGTTGCATATTTATCCAGTTTACCCAACACCATTTACTGAAGACTGTCTTTTCCCCATTGAGTGCTCTTGTCTCCCTTGTCAAATATTAGTTCATCTCATACACATGGTCTCATACACATGGGTTTATTTCTGGGCTCTCAGTTCTGTTCCACTGATCTATTTGTCTGTTTTTATGCCAGTACCATACTGTGTTGATTATTATACTTTGTAGTATAGTTTGAAATCAGGAAGTGTGATGCCTCCCCACTTTGTTCCTCTTTCTCAGGATTGCTTTGGCTATCCAGTGTCTTTGGTAGTTCCATATGAATTTTAGGATTTTTTTATACTTCTGTGAAAAATGCATTTGGAATTTTGATATGGATTGCACTGAATCTACAGATGGCTTTGGGTAGTATGGACATTTAAACAATATGAATTCTTTTTTTAAATTAAATTAATTTATTTATTTACTTATTTTTGGCTGCGTTGGGTGTTTGTTGCTGCACGCGGGCTTTCTTTAGTTGCAGCTAGGGGGGCCCGGACCAGGGATCGAACCTGTGTCCCCTGCATTGGCAGGGGGGGGG